AGTATATTTTTAAAACATATTCTAGGGGGAAAGTGGAACGAATTCTTCTCCTAACCCATGGTGTCGTAAGGGGCAAAAAAATGCCGGGAGAAAGGGGTAAAAAACCCCTTCTCCTGTATATATTACAAAATTTAAAGGAGAAACTTTTTTTCCCTTTTGGGGCCCCACCTTAGTGGGATGGGCTGGTGCTTTGAAAGAAATAATAAATATATATTAACCTTTTTTTTTCTAGAACTGAAATACTTTTTTTGGAAAATTGATACTGTATAAAACATTTTAATGTGTAACAGAAAAAAAATTTTTTTGCAATTTACTAATAAAAAGTCCTAAACTGTGTAAGAATGTATTTAATATTCATGTAATGGTAGACTATTTGACCTATTAAACACTTTTATGATCATAAAAAATTTCCCCCCCTTTGTTTTTATTTATTTGGCTGCTTCCAGCAGTACAATCTGGTCCAATATACTGTACCAGAGGTTTATGGCTGATTACTAGCATGTGAACCATCTAGTTGTATATACCATCTGTCATACACAACATCCATCATATTACCATTTGGGAAAAAATTTTTCCCTGCCCCACAACACCCTTACAAGGAAAAATCCCCCCAAATTTTTTTTGGGGGGGGCTGACACTATTTCCTTGTACTTCATTTTTTTCCCATTTTCACATCGTTGTCTCAGAGGCAAGCCTCAATTTTCCCTACACATTATATCTCAGTATAAAAAAATGCAATTGCTTCACATAACAAGAGCCAAAATATCTTTTGTACCCCATTAGAGACTTTACCTTCTTTGATGCTGGTATCCATGCCACGAGTACTTGGTAGGCAAAGCTAACCAAGTCATATTTTGTAATTGTATCTAGTTCCTGGCCAATTGCTCGTTCATAGCCAGAAGATGGTCTGTTGTTGCGGAGATAGTCACGCAAATTTCCATGAGCTGCATACTCAACGACAACATACAGAGGGCCATCTTGCGTACAGCATCCAAGTAGGTTAATGATATTGATATGTGTGCCAATCATTTTCATCATTTCCATCTCTGACACCAAGTCCATTAATTCAGAGTCTGTGTGACCCTCTGTTGGACCAAGGGAAAAACTCTCCTTAAAAAACTGTTGGAAATATATTTTTTTTCACAAATTTGGAAGTTTGACAAAAACAATTTTTAACAAAGCAAGGCACATGTAGTAAATACATGTATAGTTAAAAGTAAAGACTACAGAATTCTGGCAAAACAAAATACAAAGGCTTTAAATCACATTGACTATTTCCTACTAAGGAAGGGTCACCAAGAGAAGGAAGCAGATTCACTCTTACTATTCCTCATTCTGTCTCGAGTACAAACATCACATTCCCAATGACTGAACTGCAACTTTCATACCCTTCACAGTATACTGTACTTCTCAATGCCTACATCTTTTTAACCAGACTCTTACCTTTCAGCATTTTGACTGCCACAGTTGTATTCCCTGGTCTAAGGAAACCTTGTATTTCAGCTCTTACAACTTTCCCAAAGGCACCCTCTCCTAGAGTTTCTCCCATCACCAGCCTTGAACGTGGTAATTCCCAAGGAGCATCTAAAGGTAGCTTATATTCTGATATACTTGTCATTTCAGACCCAAGATGTGATGTAGACTGACAACGTTCAATTTTTATTGTGGAAACAAGAATAGGCTCCTGTGAGGCATCAGAGTTTTGACGTTCCACAAAAACCTACAGGAAGAGAGAGACAATAAGTGTTTTCTTATACAATTAAGTTTTAGACCTTAAGAATATCAGACAAAATCTTTAGCAATCAAAATCATATTTCCTTCTGGTACCATTTTGATCCACTGCTGCGTGGTATCTTCCTTGGCACGTTCTAGGTCAATGGCACGTCTCTTTTCCTTTTGCCATTTCTTCCAGACAAAGGAAGCCATGATGCTAGCAATTACCATAACAGAAAGTAAAACTACCCCCAGGATGAGAATAGCATGAGATTCAGCATCTGCAAGGATGGGCTCCGCTGAAAAAATGACAGTACACTGTAAGCACCACCACCCAAATTAAATCTGTAAGATGTACATTACTGTACATGGAAAGAAATATCCTGAATTTTAATCCAATCACTAATGTTTACTATCAATCTTTGTCTTAAGAGAGAATTCACGTCATTTGCCCTCTCCATATTTGGCATACAAAATACTGTATCAAAATGTCAGCCTTTAAGGCTGACATTTTGATACAGTATTTTGCAGATGTCAGCCTTTAAGGCTGACATCTGCAAAAAGTAATTATTTGACTCTGCCATTCCTAGAGATATATAAAACAGTCATTACATTATACTGAATACAAAATTACATATGCAGTATTATTTAAGCATTACTGAACCCCAACAAATATTGTTAAAATTGGACCTCTGCATACAGTATCTTTTCCAGTGCCTCTGAAAAATATGCTTTTGTCAATTCAGTGAGCTTACCCTCCGTTACATTGAGGTATGCTGTTGATGACGATGTTCCAAGACTGTTGGCAGCAATGCATGTGTACCAACCAGCATCATTCTCTGTGACGTTGGTCAGCACTACAACTTGAGGATCCTCCGTGCTTGTTATATTACCACCCTCCTAAAATTAAAACTGTGTCAATAACTGCTTAGGAAAAAATATTTAAAATATGGTACATTTACAAAAATATTACACTTCATTAGGTATACCAATTTAGGAAAGTTTCATGAATACTTTTCTTCAGATTTTGTAAAACTGCAAAACAGAATTTAGGATGCTTTTCTTTTCCCCAACAGAAATTACAGATGATACTTTATTAAAATTTGCCTTTTTTTCTTGTTAGTCTACAAATTTGTAAAATTAAGTAAAAATAAATTAGTATTATGCAATATTCCTTTTTTTTTTTTTAATCAATTCACAAACTACATAAAGCACACAAGACAAGACAAAACATGCAGCACAAACAGCAAGCACATAGATATGGAGTAAGGACAAGCTTAATTAAACTACAATATTCATTTTCCAAAGCCTTAAAACTTAAAACTCAATGTAAAGAGTTCATTCTCAATTTACATTAATATACTGGTGAACATGCTGAGTGAAGTTACTGAAAGCTACATGTACTCAACTTTTCTCAAGGCTACATAAGCACACATTCATAAACATGCTAGTCTTTAGTTTTTTTTCAAAACTAATTAGCATGCATTATTTAGCCAACATATTTTTTTGTCAGCATCACTACTGTTAGCATCATTTCATAGTGATTTCACACCACACATGATGCTCAAATTGATAATACAAGTCTGACCTTGCCATTTAGGGCATCCTCAAGAATTTTCGTATCTATAATGATATGAGAGGGGTCTCTAGAGTCTGAGTTTGACCAAGAGATAGGTAAATCCTTTTTCCACACTAAAAAAGGCACGAGAGTATTTTCTGTCCAGGTATCCACCTCAAAGCGTACAGTGCTGCCTCGAGTTACAGTCAAGTTTTCCAGATGCTTGGTGAAGATTGGCCGAGAAGGGATGTGTTCTATAGCAGCAGGACAAGAATGAGTGATAATTAGTATGGCCTACAAGTCAAAATAACCCATATGGGATAAAATCGAGGAATGTTCACCATCACCACTTTGTATTAGTGTAGTAAGAAAATCTGAAAAATTTTCATAATTCATAAAACCCAGCACACAATATAATACAGGTAAATAAATGCTTTATGCAGTGTAAATTTATTTTGAGTTAAAAATTTCATATAGTAACCAGACTCAAGATATGGAGTCTTATTTTTTAATTCTTAAAATATTAGGGATCAATTATGTCTTAAATTTCAGGAATGACTGTCAGGCCATCTGATAGAGTGCATGAAATTTCTACCTTCTTAAGTATTTGGTAGTAGATCCAATTATACACCCATTACCACTTACATTATGTTAGATTACAGGTGCAATAATCACAAGAGAACTTGCACAACAATTATACAATATACTCTGCACCCATTATGAATTATGCTACAATAAGTAACCATCACCAAAATTAATGTTATGTGGTATGTACGTAATATAAGTTATACTCCCACTGCTTACCCAAAAGATCAAGATTGGAAGTTACATTTACAAAATACTATGTAGTAGAAGACTAAACATTGTACAATTATTTACGCTCTCAAAATTAGGAGAAAATTAAAATAAATACCACATCCTTTTAAGCATAAGGCAAGCATATGCTGAATAAATATATCTTACACCCACTATTTTCACTCGGACATTGCCATACTAGAGAGAGAGAGTAACATTGTATGAGATACCCCTGCATTCTGGCTGTTCTCTCTGGTAGTATCTTATTTAGTACAAATTGTACAGGAAGCAAGTTGGGAGATTTATGGAGCCTAAATAACTCAAGGATCTTGGCAACAGATAATAATTAGAGGAGGAGGAGGGGGAGGTAATAAGAAAGAAGGGAGGAACTGATCAAAGAAGGAGGGGGGGATGAAATAAGGAAAATAGAAAGCAGGGGAAAGAAAATGGAAGGGGAGAAAAGGGAGGAAAAGAAAAGTGAAGGAAGGAAAGGGAAAAATAGAACGATGTTGATGAAGTATTAGTATAACCATGCAGAACCTCTTAATTTTTTTAACAAAACTAGATACAGTGTGCTGCTACCTTATTCCGTAAGATAGTTAACAGTCTGAACAAAAACTAATGTTTCATTGTCATATTCCATCACACAGGATGGGTTACATAGTGTTGAAATCTGTCAGCCTGGGCTGGGAGACTTAGTAGGGCCATAAGGATACGGTCTGGTATTCCAATAAGGGCTTATAAACTACGGCAACTTCAAAGATGGTAATTACCATCTCTCAGGATAACCTCTGGCCCTAGACCATGTATGACCTGGTGGTTTAAAGCTTAGTTTTGATTATAATAATAATATACACATACATACATTAGTGTGCAACAATGCAATCATATGCCTAAGAATATATAATGACGCTATATTCGTGATTAGTTTTTCCCAAGTAAATAGGAGGGAGAGACGGTGTGTTGCCAGATGCCATTTTCTACATTAATCAAATAACTGGTTTCTACAGGTGAAGTTATATGTAGTCAGATATTAAAGTACATAACTAATAAAAGTAAGTAGTCCAAACTAGTTTAGCCCCTAAAGGCAACCTTAAGAATATTTATAAAAAAATTAAATGGGAGTAGAAAGGAGGTTGCAGCTACAATACATTACAAAAAACAATGTGCATTTTACCCCAACACCAATACCAAAGCTCCCTATAAAGTTACCATACTATTATTACAAGTGACAAAGCCCCAAATGTCACCTCCAACACCAGTGGCACCATTATCAGCCTTCAAAATTTACATTTCTTTTACCTTGATAATCAATAATCTGTCAATAATATTCCCCTCGTTGTCAACACCATTATAGCGAGTGGAGTGCTTTAGCCAGGTGATATATGGGACCTGATCCGATATGACGGAGCACTGTAGCTTTGCGTTTGTTCCCTGAACCACTGTCCGGTTACTCAGCTCCTTGTTTATGATGGGTCGACTGGGAAGACGTTCTACATAAAGTATCAGAGTAAACAAGTCAAACAAGGCAATCATAAATATATAAACATCATATCAATCAACCCTAAACCACAGCTCTAATTTTTCACCTAAAAAAATATTTAAATTTTGAACAAAATTATTCCTACCTAAAACGATTACCTAAATTTCTACTGTAGCAAAAATTTTTACCAATTTCTCTGGGGTCATTGGTCTCCACTATTCTTGCCGCCTGATGGATGGCCTCTAATAAGCCTATTGATAATGAATGGTTTAAAAACCAACAAGTTGAAGATTGAGACACTTATGCAACACATGGGTATCTTTATTGAAGAAATGTTTCGCCACACAGTGGCTTCATCAGTCCAATACAAAGTAGAACGGTGTTAAGAGAGGAGTAGTTTGAGGTAATCAGTCCCTCTGTCTGGAATCGATGTGTTCAGTGCATCAATCTTGTTAGAAGCACAAGACTGATGGACTGAACACATCTATTCCAGGCTGAGAGACTGATTACCTCAAACTCCACCTCTCCTTACACCTTTCAGCTTTGTATTGGACTGATGAAGCCACTGTGGCGAAACAATTCTTCAATAAAGATTCCCATAAGTTGCATAAGTTGAAGATTGAGACACTTATGCAGCATATGGGAATCTTTATTGAGGAAACGTTTCACCACGCAGTGGCTTCATCAGTCCAATACAAAGTGGAACGGTGTAAGGAGAGGAGGAGTTTGAGTTAATCAGTCCCTCAGCCTGGAGTCGATGTGTTCAGTCCATCAATCTTGTAGAATGTACAGCATAGGGCCGTAGACGTGGCTTATATACTGTAGTCAGGTGAGGTGAAGCAGGAGGAGGGCAGGTCATAGTGGTACCATCCACTAGTCGAAGTAGGTCGTCGTCCAAATGTTGGACAAGTTTTGAAGAATTCTTTGTATCAAGATCCCATGATGATGCAGTGTCTGACAGTTGTGATGAATGGTGGACTGAACACATCGACTCCAGTCTGAGGGACTGATTACCTCAAACTCCTCCTCTCCTTAAACCTTTCTACTTTGTATTGGACTGATGAAGCCACTGTGTGGCGAAACGTTTCCTCAATAAAGATTCCCAGATGTTGCATAAGTATCTCAATCTTCAACTTGTCGGTTTTCAAAACCATTCATCACAACTGTTGCATAAGCGTCTCAATCTTCAAGCCTATTAGTGCTAGCATCACAGCCCGGCTAATCACGCCTTGGGGAACTTTTCAGATTCCATCTTGAAGGGAACTTTCTGTATTATTTCCAAATTTACTTTTTCAATAGCTTTCCAGCTTTTTATCATTTGCTTTGTCTGGTTTCAGTTTTCGGTACAAGGTATTCAATTCCATTTTTGTATAAGCTGTTCAGTTCTATTGTTGGTATAAGCTGGTTGATTCCATTTTTTCGTGAAAGTTGTTCAATTCCACTTTCATATGCTGTAGAAGAATTCTTGAAATATTTTGTTGATATCTCTCCCTAGAGGTACTCTGTCCAATTTAGTTTTCCCTTTTTTCTGTAAAACTGCTGACATGCTTAACATGGCGACAAGTTGTCTTCTCTCATTTGTGTTGCATTAAGAAACTCTTCACCGAACCTAAGTGTCCGTGGTTCGATCTCCAGCCGGGCGGAAACGTTGGGCATGTTTCATTACACCTGCTGTCCCAGTTCGCCTAACAGTAGGTAGGTACCTGGATGTTAGTCGACTGTTGTGGGTTGCATCCTGAAGGTGGTAGTATATCTTAGATAGGGTTGGGTTCTAAAATGAGCTGAGGTAGGATTGTAACAGATCTTAGAATGTAAAACTGATGTGTAAAGACAACTGTTTTAAAGTATTTTTAAATGTTTCTGTGATCTAACATAGTCATTCGTAGCTCTTCTGCTTGCTGCCCTGTTTTTTTTTATCCTCACATCTGTCCTCTACATTACGTCTACAAGCTTATGATTCCTCTTATGGTGTAGAAAAATATATATAGTTTTACTCACCAATAACCTCTAAAACGTAAGTGTGGTTGATGGAGCCATGGGCGTTGTTGACCACACACGTGTAGTTGCCAGAGTCAGTGGGTACGAGGTTTTCCATCTTGAGTGTGGCTCCTTTAATCCGTACGTCACCAAGATGACGCGCAGGTTTTTCACCATCCTACAATTAAATGCACGATTCATTAGTTTAGAAATTATTTTCATTATAGCATGTAAGGTTTGTTGTTTACTATTCAGTAGTGACTGTGGATAATAGAAAGTGAGAAAGACAAAGGTGAATAAAAAAAGAAAACATTTTTGAGTACCATGTTTTATCTGTGGTCCCTCAACTTCAAAGACAGAACCCCTCAAGGGAGGTTCCCTGATGCTGGCGAGGGGCTCTTGATCTAGGGAATTGGATCTGTGCTCCAGTTCCCTGAATTGAGCCTGAATACTTTCCATCCCCCCCACAGGTGCTGTATAATCCCTACGAGTTTAGTGCTCCATAATAGTAACAACCATTTAAGGCAGAAGAGATGCAGCAAAGATGACTTAGCCATCAACAGGAATCATAAATGCAAACCCTTTATCGGGCAGCCCTTAAAATTTGTGGGCCCGAGCACATGCTTTTCTGCGAGTGTCATCCTACTCGTGCTGCGCATCTAGATTCCTGTTCTTTATTTCTGACCAATCACAATCCTTCCCTGAGTCACTTCAGCTAAGTGGTGGCGTCCTGTTCTCGCTTACCATTGGTTGAGATACCAAGATGTAAACACTTGTAGCTTGCATTGCCGAGAGTAACATTTTCTCATCTAGTGAGTCTCAAATACCCTTGGATTTTATCCTCTACAATGTCGGTAAGTACTGATTGTTATGTCTAGTGCGTAAATAAATAGTTTGGAATATATATTTTTTATATATATATAATATATATTATATATATATATAATATATATATATATTTTATATATATATAATTTTTTATTAGAATGGGGTCCACCTCTGGTGTAAATTGTGGGACCCATAGCCTCGGAGAAGTGGATAAAAAGGCTTCAAGGAAAAATATTTGGATTTCTTCCTGAAGCCGTTTGAATATTCCACTTCCCTACCTACCATATAATATATATATATAAATTATATATTATATATATATATATTATATATATATATATTATATTTTAATATATAATATATATATATTATATAATATATATATTATTATATATTAAAGCTAATAATATGAGGTACCGTGCAAATGAAAAAAAGGGCAACAAAAAGAGGCCTCAAAAAATGTTGGTCTGCCCTTTCAGGGCCAGTTTTCAATTTCATGTAAATAAATATTATAAAAAATATATTTCTATTGTTATATGAATTTTATAGTGGTCTGGATGTGTACAGAACGTTTTTATTGTCCTTCCAGATCAATGAGAAATTGTTTTATGGTGAGCCCTCCAACACTAAGTCAAAATATGTCTGCATTTTGGAGGAAAGTGACTCAGAACTGGAGGTAGATGACCCAGAATTGCTTGAAAGTGGTGATGAATACTTGCCACCAGATGCAGAGGTGTCAAGTGATGATGAGGAAGAAATGCCAGCCAAAAAGTGAAAAGTAGTCAAGAAAAAGAAAGGTATTAGGATTGAGGAGATGCCTGATGAAGATATTCATGATGAGCTTGCTGTTGACAGTAACCCCAGCTGGACCCATGGTGACATCCATAGTGACCCTTTGCCTGAATACCAACATGAAAAGCCTGTTGCAGTTAGGTCTCCATATGAATATTTTACTGATTTCTTTACTGAAGACATGAGAGACAACATAACATATCAAACAAATTTGTATGCCAAGCAAAAAAACAGATTCTGAAGAAATCTTGAGGTTCATAGGTATTCTCTTGTTTATGGGTATTAATTCATACCCAGCCATTGAAGACTATTGGGCAAATACATTGACGATACCCCAGGTTGCAGAAGTCAGGCCACTTTACACTGCACTAACTAATGCTTGCTTGAAAGTTCCAGCTACACCCAAGCAGTCTGTTGATGAAGTTATGGTTGCTTTCAAGGGTAAAACTGCTGGAAACCTAAGGCAGTACATCAAAACCAAACCAGACAAGTGGGGTTTCAAACTGTTTTGTCGTGCAAGTGAAGATGGATTTATACATGATATACTCATGTATCAAGGCAAACCAACTTTTGACAGCCATCCCATAAAGCTGCCACAGGAAGAAACAAAACTGCCAATAAGTTCAAAGATTGTTCTGGTACTTGCAACCACTATCAAAGAAATACATCAGCAATCTATGCTGACAATTTCTTTTCAGGTCTACCGTTGGTCAAGGTACTAAAAGACAAGTATAACTGCAGATACACTGGAACAGTACGTGATAATAGATGTGGTAAGCCAAACCTGGTTCCTGTCAAACAAATGGAAAAGAGCAATGTGCCCAGGGGCACTTCAGACTTCCAAAGCACCAATGATGGTATCCTTGTTGTAAGATGGAAGGACAACAAAGTTGTGACTTTAGTGACAAATGATCAGGGGGTTAATCCTGTGATTCTTGTTGACAGATATAACAAGGATACAAAGAACAGAAGCCAGGTCCATTGCCCTACAGTCATCAAGAACTATAATGCACACATGGGAGGTACTGACAAAAGTAACATGTCACTGCATCTACACAAAACACCTATGAAATCTAAACGTTGGTACATGCGGCTGTTTGCCTATGTTCTTGATCTGGCTGTTGTGAATGCATGGCTTCTTTCCTGCCATGATTGTAAATCACTCAATACCAAGTTCAGGCCACTGAAGAGTTTCAGGAATGATATCTCTATCACTGCAAGATCCAAAGGAAATAAGTAGGGATGCACCAGCAGAACTACAAGAGCTTCAACAAGTAGTTCCAATAGTGACACTAGTGATTTGCCAAGCTTGCAATTGTCAGTTGCTAAGCAGTACCAATGTGCAATAAGGCCTGATGACACTGAGGCAAGGTACGTACTTGTAAGTATTGCAGCAACAAGAACAATTATACCACATCGTCATTTTACTGTTCCGTATGCAAAGTAAATCTATGCATAAAGGATAAAAATTGCTTCATATCCTTCCATTCTAGCAATTAGTAATATACAATGACTGTTCTTTCTCAGGGAATTCAGAAATGTGGGACTTGAAAATTTTATCCCTCTGCAATGTGTCAATGTAGCAATTTGGTTAATTTTATATTTTTCTAATACCTAATAAAGGTTTGGATACAAGTTCCATTTATGTTTTTTATATTGTCTACTTGTATAATAAATTAAAAAAATAGTTATTTGCTGTTTTATTAACCACTGCAAGTTTGCAACATCCAAATTTATACTCCCTTAAACGGGCAGGCCATAATAAATTAGGGCTTTGCTGATTAGCAATTGCTTGAAAACTAACCATCAGAATTCCATTTATATGGGTTCACTGACCTTATATTGAGTTACTCTATCCACTATAGGGAGGTCAGTTCAAAATTCGAATTTTATGACCATTTGCCCCAAGAAGGGATAAAATGCAAACTACAAAAAAGTGGGGCAGAAAAAATATATGAGGAGTTTCAACGATAACAGACTGTTGATGTGTGAGCTTGTGCAACCGCAGAAAAACTGAACAGTCTGTGACTAACTAGTATAGGCTTTTGAGAGCTGCAAATTATTATTACTGAGAAGCGCTGAACCCATAGTGTTTATACAGAGCCTAGTAAACAAAGCAATCAGGTTTGATCCTTGGATCAAGAGCCCTTCACCAAAGTCAACCCACACATTAGAATAGAAACATTTGTCCTTAATGCTTTCCCATAATACTTTCAATAAAATATATTAAATGAATAGATACACAAATTACAATACTCAGAACAGGGATGACACACACCGAATCAAAATACATGAAAAAAATGATATGTATAAAATACAATACAAATATTCAACTCACTTTGAACCAGGTTGTGTTGAGATTGGGTCCTCGAGCCTGGCACTTGAGCTCAGCAACATTACCAGCTGGCTTTATCATGAGTGACTTGAGCTCCTTAGTGAAGACTGGCACCAAATCTGAGGAATCGTCACCCTGCTCCACCTCCAACACCTTGCTGTCAGCATACAAGGCCTGAAAAAAGCAGTTGCGTCTCCATTATTAAAACAAACTAGTAGAAAGTAACAGGCGAGAAAGAAGGCGCAAACGCAGGATACACCCGTGTATATCAATGGTAGAATATACCGTCGAATATATTAAAACAATATGCAGTTTATGGCATTTTTATTTTAAAGATGTTTCATCCACCAAGGATTTGATAAATTCTCTGAAAAATTTGATAAAGTTCCTGGTGGACGAAACGTCTCAATAAAATGCCATAAAACGCACATTATCTAAGATACGCCAACGATTAAACTATTATTGTTGTTGTTGTTACTGTATTGAGAAATTACTGTTCGACAAACTTAGGATATTTCACAGCTAACCAACAAACTAGATACATCTAAAACAAAATGCTTTGGTTTTGGACCATAAAGATTACCACCAATCAAAGTGTAGTTCAGTTTTTCTCTCAAGCTTATGTGTTATGAATTATTGTATCTAGGGTGTTGTAAGGCAGTGTTCCCTACCTGAGGTAGTGTAGGTGTAGGAGCTTCATCTTGTACTATAAGGGTGAAGTTGACCCAGCCATGACCAGCATCTGAGCTGCTCCACCAGCATGAGTACACACCATCGTCTTCCTTCTTCACTGTCTTTACACGCAGACGAGGCCACAATCTGATTGTCATAAATAATATATACATATATATTATAGATGGGGTCCACCTCTGGTGTAAACTGTGGGACCCATAGCCTCGGAGAAGTGGATAAAAAGGCTTCAATGAAGAATGTGTGTGTGTGTGTGTGTGTGTGATTATATATATATATATATATATAATATATATATATATATATATATATATCAAACAAGTCGGTTGTCTCCCACCGAGGCAGGGTGACCCAAAAAAGAAAGAAAATCCCCAAAAAGAAAATACTTTCATCATCATTCAACACTTTCACCACACTCACACATTATCACTGTTTTTGCAGAGGTGCTCAGAATACAACAGTTTAGAAGCATATACGTATAAAGATACACAACATATCCCTCCAAACTGCCAATATCCCAAACCCCTCCTTTAAAGTGCAGGCATTGTACTTCCCATTTCCAGGACTCAAGTCCGACTATATGAAAATAACCGGTTTCCCTGAATCCCTTCACTAAATATTACCCTGCTCACACTCCAACAGATCGTCAGGTCCCAAGTATCATTCGTCTCCATTCACTCCTATCTAACACGCTCATGCACGCTTACTGGAAGTCCAAGCCCCTCGCCCACAAAACCTCCTTTACCCCCTCTTTCCAACCCTTTCGAGGACGACCCCTACCCATCCTTCCTTCCCCTATAGATTTATATGCTTTCCATGTCATTCTACTTTGATCCATTCTCTCTAAATGACCAAACCACCTCAACAACCCCTCTTCTGCCCTCTGACTAATGCTTTTATTAACTCCACACCTTCTCCTAATTTCCACACTCCGAATTTTCTGCATAATATTTACACCACACATTGCCCTTAGACAGGACATCTCCACTGCCTCCAACCGTCTCCTCGCTGCTGCATTTACCACCCAAGCTTCACATCCATATAAGAGTGTTGGTACTACTATACTTTCATACATTCCCTTCTTTGCCTCCATAGATAACGTTTTTTGACTCCACACATACCTCAACGCACCACTCACCTTTTTTCCCTCATCAATTCTATGATTAACCTCATCCTTCATAAATCCATCCGCCGACACGTCAAATCCCAAGTATCTGAAAACATTCACTCCTTCCATACTCCTCCCCAATTTTATATCCAATTTTTCTTTATCTAAATCATTTGATACCCTCATCACCTTACTCTTTTCTATGTTCACTTTCAACTTTCTACCTTTACACACATTCTCAAACTCATCCACTAACCTTGGCAATTTTTCTTTAGAATCTCCCATAAGCACAGTATCATCAGCAAAAAGTAACTGTCAATTCCCATTTTGAATTTGATTCCCCATAATTTAATCCCACCCCTCTCCCGAACACCCTAGCATTTACTTCCTTTACAACCCCATCTATAAATATATTAAACAACCATCGTGACGTTACACATCCCTGTCTAAGACCTACTTTTACCGGGAAGTATTTTCCCTGTCTTCTACACACCCTAACCTGAGCCTCACTATCCTCATAAAAACTCTTTACAGCATTTAGTAACTTACCACCTATTCCATATACTTGCAACATCTGCCACATTGCTCCTCTATCCACTCTATCATATGCCTTTTCTAAATCCATAAATGCAATAAAAACTTCCCTACCTTTATGCTAATATATATTATATATATTATATATATATATATATATATATATATATATATATATATATATATATATATATATATATATATATATATAATGTCGTCCCAAATAAGTAAGACTTGCTATTTTGGCTTAATAAAAATGCACTTCTTGCCAAATAGGGCAAGAGAAAAATGTGTATGCAATAATTTCTAAAAAATCATTCTGAATCTAACGAAAAAAATATAATTAATTGTGTTTGTTTATTATTAAGTTATTGTAAGCTTATATAAATATATTTAGTTGGATTAGGCTAAATTAAACTGCGCTAGTTTGGTACAAAATCATTAATTTTTATATCAACATAAATGAAAAAAAAATATATCTAAATGTAAAAGAGAAAATTTTGGAAAAGACTTAATTTTAGATGAGTTCTTGCTAATTGATCCTGTAAGATCAAAGAAAACATGAATGTTTTAATTTCAGTGATACGGTTTCGATAATCAATACAATGCCTCCACAACAGTTCTTTTCTATATACCATCGCTTCTAACGAACCCCTTAACATATGCAGTGTCGGGGGCGTGGCAGCGTTTGTCATTTTTTTTCCATGGCGAATAAACTAATAGACATCTACTGACCTGTTAGCCATGACTTTGAGGCGTGGATTTTGGAGTTGGTCCAGCGGCACGTTGTTGAAGTACCAGGTAGAGACGAGGCCCGTGGGTGTGGCAGGTGCTTCATCTGGGCGACACTTGAGACGAATCCTGTCCCCTAGCAGCACCCTGCGCTGCCTGTGGTAGCTGTGGTAGCCATCCTCCATCTTGTCCTCAACTGCCTCCACACCCACACTACCGTCCTCACCAACATCATAATCATACTCATCTGCAAGACAAATCACAAAAACGGGTAACATTTGCAGTTTGCCCTCACCCTCGCTCACTTCCTAGCTGTTTTCCAGATCACGTAATTAAATAATTCTTTAAAATGTTTTTATACATATTATAAACATGATTTTTATAATATACAAAATACCGAAAGATACAGGAAAACGCAATACTTCCTAATGGTGAATATGTTAATAATTCCGGGGATCGTCACTCTTCGGCGACCATCTTCCAGGTGTATATTATCAGGTATCTGTCTCTTATTGGCTCTAGAGAAGACATTCTATATACTACGAGGCATTCCCAATAGTTTAAATGCTCTCCCGGCTCTTCAAATGGCAGTAAACGATCTCTTGAACATTTTTCAGCTTGATACTTTCCTGCCTTGAACGGAGCTGTGAGAACTGTTTTTACACAGGAAGATACTAGCGATATTCCAGAAATAATAAATTATGTAGAACAGGACGATAGTAAACTATGCACGATTAGGGTCACAAGTGACATAGTCCTTAGACAAATAAATTAAAACCTAACAAATCCCCAGGCCCTGATGAACTGTATGCAAGGGTTCTAAAGGAAAGTAAAGAGGAGCTTAGCAAACCTTTGGCTAATCTTTTCAACATATCACTACAAACTGGCATGGTGCCAGATAAGTGGAAAATGGTAAATGTGATACCTATTTTCAAAGCAGGTGACAGATCCTTAGCTTCGAACTATAGACCAATAAGCCTAACCTCAAACCATACCACGGGCAGGACTTGAACCCGCGGTCAGTCTCAAAACTCCAGACCGTCGCGTTAGCCATGAGGTGGCCCGATGGCCTGGTGGCTAAAGCTCCCGCTTCACACACGGAGGGCCCGGGTTCGATTCCCGGCGGGTGGAAATTCCGACACGTTTCCTTACACCTGTTGTCCTGTTCACCTAGCAGCAAATAGGTACCTGGGTGTTAGTCGACTGGTGTGGGTCGCATCCTGGGGGACAAGATTAAGGACCCCAATGGAAATAAGTTAGACAGTCCTCGATGACGCACTGACTTTCTTGGGTTATCCTGGGTGGCTAACCCTCCGGGGTTAAAAATCCGAACGAAATCTTATCTTATCTTATCTTATTGGACCAGCTAGCCACAATAAGATTCGTCCAACTAGGTATATTTCTACACAATAGGAAGGTTAGCATAGGCACAACTGTGACCAACTGTGGACGAATCTTATTGTGGCTAGCTGGTCCAGTGGCTAACGCGACAGTCTGGAGTTTTGAGACTCTCTGACCGCGGGTTCAAGTCCCGCCCGGGGTATGGTTTGTTTGCAATCGCGTCATTACGATTTCGTGAGTCAAGCCTAACCTCCATAGTGGGGAAATTTATGGAATCAATAATTGCCGAGGCAATTCGTGGCAATCTTGAAAAGCATAAATTAATCAACGAATCTCAGCGCGGTTTTACAAAAGGGCGTTCCTGGTTACCTGGAGGTTATTCCGGGGATCAACGCCCCCGCGGCCCGGTCCACGACCAGGCCTCCCGATGGATCAGGGCCTGATCAACTAGGCTATTACTGCTGGCCGCACGCAGTCCGACGTACGAGCCACAGCCCGGCTGATCCGGCACCGACTTTAGGTATCTGTCCAGCTCTCTCTTGAAGGCAGCCAGGGGTTTATTGGCAATTCCCCTAATGCTTGATGGGAGGCTGTTGAACAGTTTTGGGCCCCGGACACTTATGGTGTTTTCTCTTAGTGTACCAATGGCGCCCCCTACTTTTATTGGCGGCATTTTGCATCGCCTGCCCAGTCTTTACTTTCGTAGGGAGTGATTTCTGTGTGCAGATTTGGGACCATTCCTTCCAAGATTTTCCAAGTGTAGATTATGATATATCTCTCCCTCCTGCGTTCCAACGAGTACAAGTCAAGTGCTTCCAAGCGTTCCCAGTAGTTAAGGTGCTTGACAGAACTTATACGTGCAGTAAAGGATCTCTGTACACTCTCTAGATCTGCGATTTCACCTGCTTTGTATGGAGATGTTAATGTACAGCAGTATCCCAGCCTAGAGAGAACAAGTGATTTGAAAAGGATCATCATGGGCTTGGCATCTCTCGTTTTGAAAGTTCTCATTATCCATCCTATCATTTCTTTGCACGTGCGATCGTGGCATTGTTGTGATCCTTGAAAGTGAGATCCTCAGACATTACTACTCCCAGGTCCCTTACATTATTTTTCCGCTCTATTGTATGGCCGGAGTCAGTAGTATACTCTGTTCTAGTTATTATCTCCTCCAGTTTTCCATAACGGAGTAGTTGGAATTTGTCCTCATTGAACATCATATTGTTTACCGTTGCCACTGGAAAACTTTGTTTATATCTTCTTGGAGGTTAACCGCGTCCTCGGCAGATGACAGCCTCATGCAGATCCTAGTATCATCCGCAAAGGATGATACGGTGCTGTGGTGTATATCTCTGTTTATGTCTGATATGAGGATAAGGAATAAGATGGGGGCGAGTACTGTGCCTTGTGGAACAGAGCTCTTCACTATGGCAGCCTCCGATTTAACTCTGTTGACCACTACTCTTTGTGTTCGATTTGTTAGGAAGTTGAAGATCCATCTCCCCACTTTCCCAGTTATTCCTTTAGCACGTATTTTATGGGCTATTACGCCATGATCGCATTTGTCAAATGCTTTTGCAAAGTCTGTGTATATTACATCTGCATTCTGATTTTCTTCCAGTGCATCCAAGGCCATGTCATAGTGATCCAGTAGTTGTGAGAGGCAGGAGCGACCTGCCCTGAACCCATGTTGCCCTGGATTGTGCAGATTTTGGGAATCCAGGTGATTTGCAATCCTGCTTCTAAGCACTCCTGCCTTACGAATTTAATTAACTTTTTTCACTAAGGTACTTGAGGAGGTAGATCATGGTAATGAATATGATAGATATTGTGTATATGGACTTAAGTAAGGCTTTCGATAGAGTCCCACATCAGAGACAATTGAGGAAAATTGAGGCACACGGAATAGGAGAATTTTTTTCCTGGATAGAGACATGGTTGACAAATAGGCAGCAGAGAGTTTGCATAAATGGGGAGAAATCAGAGTGGGGAAGCGTCACGAGCGGTGTTCCACAGGGGTCAGTCTGGTTGGGCCCCTTGATGTTCACTCTACATAAAAGACATAGATGAGGGAATAAATAGCGACAATAGCAAGTTTGCCGATGACACCAAAATAAGCCGTCGAATTCATTCTGACGAGGACATTAGAGCACTCCAAGAAGATTTGAATGGACTGATGCAGTGGTCGGAGAAGTGGCAGATGCAGTTTAATATAGATAAATGCAAAGTTCTAAACATTAGACAGGTAAATAACCATGCCACATATAAACTAAATAATGTAGACCTTAATATTATGGATTGCGAAAAGGATTTGGGAATTCTGGTTAGCAGTAATCTAAAACCAAAACAACAGTGCATAAGTGTTCGCAACAAAGCAAACAGAATCCTTGGTTTCATATCGAGAAGCATAAATAATAGGAGTCTTCAGGTTGTTCAACTCTATATATCCTTCGTTAAGCCTCATTTGATTATGCTGCACAGTTCTGGTCACCGTATTACAGAATGGATATAAATGCTCTGGAAAATGTACAAAGTAGGATGACAAAGTTGATCCCATGTATCGGAAATCTTTCCTATGAGGATAGACTGAGGGCCCTGAATCAGCACTCTCTAGAAAGGTGTAGAGTTAGGGATGATATGATTGAGGTGTATAAATGGAAGACAGGAATAAATAAATGGTATGTAAATAGCGTGCTAAAAATATCTAGCCTAGACAGGACTCTTAGCAATGGCTTTAAGTTGGAAAAATTCAGATTTAGGAAATCACTGATTTGGTAACAGAGTTGTGGATGAGTGGAACAAACTCCTGAGTACAGTTATAGAAGCTAAAATGTTGTGTAGTTTTAAAGATAGAATAGGTAAATGCATGGGTGGGTGTGAGTTGGACCTGACTAGCTTGTGCTACTAGCTTAGATGCCGTGTTCCTGACTAGGTTGGGGCATTGGCTTAAGCCGGTGGGAGACTTGGACCTGACTCGCATGGGCCAGTAGTCCTACTGCAGTGTTCCTTCTTTCTTATGTTCTTAAGTGCAGTATCCTTCACGCGAGAACGTGCCCTGTCCATCTTGTCATTGTTCTGCCCTTTATTGTAATTATTTTAATGTGTTAGGTAAATAGCACATGTAACATTATTCTTCTTTAGTCCTCCTGCGTTTTGTACTCTGTGCTCGTTATAAGTTTTTCATTCTTCTCCTATTTAAGCAACTGAAATTTACCACCACAGAACATTATTTTTTTAATTGCCCATTGGAGAGCTTCATTAATATTTGATAGCAATTTTACTGTATCTTCTGGTGAGGCGACTTTCATACTTGCTTTGATATTGTACATGAAGGATGATGTAAAGCTGCGGCTGCTATGAGGACCAGAAGCAATAATGGTGCTAGGATCGTGTCTTGGGATACTGATTATTTTACTTTGCTAAGGCTATTTTGTTTACTACTCTGTGTTCTGTTTGTCGGATATTTAAATATCCGTTTCACTACTTTTCGTATTATACCTACTGATATAATTTGTATGTGTTGTCATTCTTTGGTCACATTTGTAAAATACCTTTGCAAAATCCGTGTACCTGGAGTTTACCTGCCTGATGATTTTCTTCCATAGCCTATAATCAGTCATGTTCTAACAGCGGTAATAAACATGATCTGCCTGCTCCAAATTCATGCCGACTTGGGTTGTGTAGGGCATGTTTTTTCCGTAAGAGAATAAGTTGGCTTCTCAGCATCCTTTCAAAGACTTTTGCACAGTGTGACGTCAGTGCACTTGGTCTGTTTTTTTTTTTTTTTTTTGTCACCGCTCTACTGCCTCCTCTGTGAAGAGGGGCTACGTCCGCACTGTTCTTAAGGCCTCTGGAATTTTACTGAATGTAAGCTCTTCCAAAAAGGAACACTGACTGCTAATGTAC